GGATGGATCTAAACATCATTATGTTCAATGAAAATTCAGGCATAAGAGCACACAGTTTAATTTCATTCATTTATAACAGAATGCTAAAAAATACAAAGTAATCTATAATGATAGAAAACAGATCAGTAGTTTTCTGGGGAAGAGATGAATTACAAAGGGGCTCAAGGAAAATATTAAAAGTAATGGAAATGCTTTTTATATTGATTGTATTGGTTACATACATGTCAAAACTGATTAAACTGCATACTTCAAATATGTGCATTTGGTTTTACTTCAATTTTACCTCAATAAAGCTATAAAAAAAATGAGGAGCAAGGGATCCCACAAATTGGCAAGAGCAATGGGTGGCTATGTGGTTTGCTTTCAGCCATGTAGTGGAAAAGAAAACCTATTGTCATTCTAAAGCACTTTTAAATGTTGGATAAACTATTAACAAACATTTCCTTAAGTGTGTAGCTCAGGTTACCCTTGAGAACCAGAGGGGAAGTTGTGGTCTTTTAAGCTGGGGAATTTGACTGTCACTTGGGGACTAGGATTTGATCTTCACAGGAGGGGATTTAGGACTATTCCTATGCCCCTATTCCTGAGATCCCTGAAGGGTTATCCCCCTTAATGAAAGACTAGACTAGAATACATGAATATAAATACACAAACACACACACAACACATGGAGAGAGAAAAAGAGGTGTGGGGTGTGTGTGTGGGGGGGGGGGGTAGTATTTTTTTTTTTTTTTTTTTTTTTTTTTTTTTTTTTTTTTCTCCCCACTTGCTGGCCCAGGACAAAAATAATGAAGATTGCCTTGGGAAATTCTCCTCTGAGAACACATAACCACAGCCTGTCCTCATATGGATTTAGGATTTTAATTTATTCTTGTAGTCAGGGAACCCCAAAGTAGATAAATTAACTTAAAAAGTGGTCCAGCCTGGAAATATCCCTGAGGCACTTGGCAGAAAAATCACAAAATTTCTCTGTGTGGCAAATCTTTAACCAAACCTCACAGAATGTCTTCCATAAAACCCCACTGAGAGGGAACTCACAACACAAAATAACAAAATACATGAGAAAAGTAGAAAGGTAATATGTGTGCAAATGTAACCTTTAGGTTACACTTTGTGTAACACTTTGTGCTTAAGTATTATAAGTTTTTTAAGCAGGGCAAACTTGAATAGCCCATAAAATCTGGTGCCTTTTTTCTCAGTGAGGAAAACTTGGAACCCATTAAAAAGAATTGGGAAAAATATCTACCGTACAGGTCCATGAAATGAAGGGTGAAAGTAATGGAATAATATATATAGCATGAGACTTTGTTTTAAAGAAAAAGTGTAAAGGTTATATATTTGTTTGTGCATATAAGAGTATGGAAATATATACATCCAATTTTTTGAAGAGTAGAATTTGGAGAAGTTTGAGGAAGAATTTTAAAATTTGTTTATTGTGTAGATGTATTTTTTTTCTTTTCACAATGAGCATTAGTAATTTTTAAAAATAAAGGAAAATATTTTAAAGAGTTCTTTTGTTTATAACAACAATAGCAGCTATTTTGTCATTGAAAATAATGGACAAAACCCCATTTTTCCAAGTACAGTAGTACTGCTAGCTACAGGGAAGTCAAGCGATGGATTAGGACAAACCAAGTGTTCTTTGAAAATCCTGTTTTTCACGCTTCTCTTAAGTTTGGCATTGTCACCTAAAATGCAATTGCTCAAAAGCTGGTTTTCAGAGTGTCCCCTTCTGAAAATAATGCTCATTGAGAACAACTTGGAAATGATTCAAGAACTGACTGCACTTCACAGTCAGTTACACAATGAACTTTATAGTCATGCACCCAAAAGATGGGATTGCGGCATTAGAAATGATGAGATCATCCCTCTCTTGTGTTTAGATTTAGTCAGGTAATCAAAGAAATTCTGAAAAGCAGAATAACTTCTTAAATACAAAAACATATAATAAAAGAATAGCAACTCTACAACATTTTGAAGAATTATCTGTTTTGCAAAAAAGATGCTGGGGAAAAAAAAGATATCTTGCTACTAGATATGACCTTTATAAACCATAGGGAAATAATTTGCTATGCTCCAAAGATGAAAGCCTTGCTAGAAATAAGATATATATGAAATGCAGAAAAAAAAGAACTCTGCTAAGACAGAACTTAAAAGTGGATAGTTAGGGGATTTTTGTTTCATCTGAAATCTAGCATTTGGAAATTAATTTTATTTGGATACATGTCACAATAAATATCTGAGTTATGGGACTGAGTTGATTCTTTTAAGTTTCCTTTTAACAAAATATATCCTCCTACTGTCCAAGTTTGGGACATGTCAAGCATCAAAAAGAAGAAACTTAAGTGATTATAAGATATCAAATAAAAACCCATGAGTACACTGTGGACATTGAAAGAGAAAGGAAGAAAAATAAGGACAACTCTTTTTTTTTTTTGAATGTCATCAAATAAAAGAAGGAAAGATACTTTAAAAATTACCACTTTTGTATCCCCAAAGCAGTAACTGATTGGGGCAAGGATCAGCAATGTAAATTAAAGCCAAAATTGGAATTTGAGAGAGAGTATACTTACACTGTACCAAAGAATCTCCCACAACCAACCATTTACAAAAAAAAAAAAAAAAAAAGCTTTTATAATGGAGACATCTATATTCATCAACTTAATTCAGTCTTAAATTCAGTAATGATGGAATGGTGGAGCAACCTGATATATTTCCTGTTGTGAAGCAAAAAACATACACAACATCTCTAGTAAAATCTTGCCAAGAATGTTTAACCTGAATCCAATCAAGTTTCACATTGTTTATAGAAAATTGAGGAGTTAGACTATATTAAACACAATGTAAGGAAACACATCCAGAAAGTATGCCCCCTTATATAAGACAACTATCCTGACTTTAGAAAAACCAATGCCACTGGGCATGGTGGCCCACACATGTAACCCCATCCAGCTACTCAGAAGTTTGAGACAGGAGGATAGCAAGTTTGAGGACAGCCTGAACAATTTAGCAAGACCTTGCCTCAAAATAAAAAAGCTGGAGATGTAGCTCAATGGTGGAGCATCCCTAGGTTCAATCTCCAACACTGGGGGGGAAAAAAGCCAATGTGATTTTTCTTAAATGTGAGGAGATATTCTAGATTAAAAAGAGTAGAATAGAACCCTACAAGCTATAACCAACTGCAATGCATAACACTGACAAAACCATGGTTGGGGGAAAAGGAAGCTGTTATTTAGGAATTCTTGAAACAAACTGGTAAATTTAAATATAAATATTTGATATCATGAATTACTATTAATTTTCCTTAGATGTGATCATGATATTGTAGTTATACAAGAGAATCTTCTTGCTCTTGAGAAATGCCTGCTTAAGTTTTTAAAAGAAAATATCAAAAGACATGAAATTTACCTTAAAGGGAGGCAGCAGTATAGAGTAATATGGTTTAACCTAATACATACATAATAGAGAGCTAAAGCAAACATGGAAAACTATGTCAGCAATAGTTGAATCTAGTTTAATTGTACCACTTTTTCAACTTTTCCACGTTTTTAATTTTTTTATAAAAAAGAGTTGGGGGAGATTCTTCTCAGAAATGTTTTCCTTAAGAGACATCTATAAAATTTACCTTAATTTTAAATTACCTTACTATCCTAAAGAAGTGATTTGCTTTTCCAGATTTGCTTACTCATTATCCATACCAAGAACATTAAAACTTGTCTTAATTATTGCAAATAATCTTCTAATTCTAGAGTAGGCGTAATACAAATCTAACAAACATCACCAATAATCAGCACAAGATTTATAGGTGTAAACATCTGGTTTTATACCCAAATAACAAACTTAACAGCAGTAAAACAAATTGTTTATTACAGCATATAATGTGTTATATTAAATTTACACATGATATATATAAAACACATACTGTTTATATCATACAGTAATTTAACAACAGGAATATCAAAACAAATACTACTCATGCACAAAACATGCAAATATTGGTATTAAAAAGCATTTTACACAATACTGTTTACTAAAAAAAAAAAGCCCTTCCAGATAGGGTCAGTGGTCCAATCTGGGCTGGATTGCACTAATGTTCAGGCCAATGCTTAGGTGGCACAGTGCTCAGTGAGCAATTCTAAGCTTGGTGTCACCCCCAAAAGTTATTTCATTAAGACTGAATTTCTTTGTACCAGAGGACCAACATTTTAACCCAAAGGCAAGTCCCTCATGGGACAGATGGTTGAATTAGCTACAAATCAGGGACGGAGAGAAAGGCATCAAAATGCTGGCTATATAGCCCAAGAAGGGGTTACTGTAACAGGGGCTAGGCACCAAGTATGGCAAAGTTTTTGTGAATCCTGTCAAGGTATTACCAGCCTCCCTATCCAGTTTGCCATCTCTGGATTTAAGGTCTGGTCTACAAGTTTTGAGTCCAGTAAACACAAAAGTTCTGAGAAGAAAACAGGATCGGAAGACATGTGAGAAATGTAGACTACACTATTTAAAATAAAAAATTAAAGAAACAACGACTCTTTCTTGTACTTACTTCACACAATTGTATGGAATGCCCCTCAACAGGAAAGACCTTACAGAGACACTGCCCTAAGAATCACGGAGCAAACGCACATCCTAAGATTCCCATCCACCTTGACCTTGAAATCAAAAGGTCTAATTCCAATAAAATTGATCAAAACCTGTCCCTTGTCAGATGCTCATAAAATTTACAAGTCAGTTGATACCACAAAATTCATTCACTATCACCACCATTAAAACGTCAATATTTACTTACAACTAGCAATATATCCTTTACCTTCCATTAAAGGCACTAGAGACCATACATGATGAAGATGAGACATAATTTACCTTGGTTTTATCTTAATAAAAGAACAAACATTCTATGAAAGTATCACACAAAAATTAAGACATCATCTTTTTCCCCCTCTTTGTTCCCCCCACCCACCCCCCGCACCCCAGTAACAGGGGGGAAAGACACTTTCTACTCAAACTGTGGTCATCAGTTTCAAAGAGCCAGAACGAAAGCGGAGGATCTTCTTCTTGAGGTTGTGCGAAGCCTTAATTTTGACAAAGGTTTTTGTGGAGTTGTTATGAAGGTCAGGGGCCGTGACCGTTTGAATTGGGAGGGTCTGGACAAACTGGGACCAAATTAAGCCCCCGCTTTCTTCGGAGTCGCTGGTGGTGGTGCTCTCGCCCACGAACTCGCCCTCGCTCACGCTGGACTCACTGTCCCCGAAGCAGTTGGTGGTGTAGTTGCTCTGCTCGTCCTCGCTGGTGTCCACCACGGTGGAGTGGAAGAGGGACTCGCACTCGGCTGAGTACTCGGAGTCACTGGCTACGTAGGCATAGGGACTGGCGTAGGACATTGCCACCGGCACCGGGTACACACCCATGTGCTCCCTGCGAGCCCTCCGGGCCCTCCTCAGGGCCTCTTCATAAGAAATCTCAGCCGAGGACTTCCACCGCCGGTAGTCGGTTCGCTTGTGCTTAGGTTTGGCCACCACCGGCTCCCGTCCGTGGCCGTGTGCCTTGTTTCCCGCCCTGTGGCCGCTGCCCAGGGGCCTGCCGGGAAGACCCACATCGGAAGGCCCACTCCCGCTCTTCCGTCCCTTGGTAGTACCTTTCTTGAGTTTCTTATTTGTATCCAAGTCGTCGGAGAAACGACACTTCTTGCTCCCTGACCGGGTTTTCTCCCGGACGGTCGGCAGACTGTTCTCCAGACCCTGCAGGGCCTGGCCTCGGTGCTTCAGGGTGGAGCTTCTCGCGACGCCCATGTTCCTGTGGCCCCGGTGCAGCCTGCCACCCGGTGCCTGCCCCGGAATGAACTGAGCTTTGACCAGATGCCCTTCCTCCAGGCTTTGCGAAGAAGAGCCCTCGCTTTTGAAATCCAATGTAGGCCTCTCCTCCAAAGGAAAGGCAGGCGGCAGCAGTGGAGGAGGAACGGGCGCGGGGACAGCCTGCAGGCTGTTTTTCTGCGGCATTTTTTTCAGGGACTGCACAGCCTTGTTCTCCTGCAAGGGCACAGGACCTTTGCCCGGGCTCTCTTTTGGAGAGGCAGCTGAGATCTGACAGCTTTCTTTCAGGGACTCACCTTTCCCAGCGGCTGGACACCGCGCATGCTCTTGGGAAGCTGCCTTGGCATTTGGGGGCAGATGCTTGCTTTGGAGCTCCGAGACCGTGCTTGCCAAGCAGCTCTCGGGTGGCGGCGACCTTTTACTTTCCAGTTGCTCTCCTTTTGATTCTTTTGACCATTGCTTCAGTGGGGAGAATACCCCATTGTCCGAAGAGGGTATTCCCCCAGTGGGCAAACACGCCTGTTTGGAATTCTTAAGGTTCACGGCGTTGCCCTGCGAGAGGCCGCCAATGGCCCTGACACACATGCTCCCATTTCTCAGAAGCCCTTTCGTGGGGTCAGCCTTCACACTGGTTCTGGGTTTGTTGGTCCTTACAGGATGTGTTTTTTTCTGAACCAGGCTCAGAATATAGCCATCCATTTTACTGGGTGAAGGATGGGAAGCAGACCACAGACTGCTTGGAGATGGTAAAGAACTCTCTGTTTTGGTGGCATCCAGTTCAGATCCAACGCAAATGTCATTTGCATGGTTCCCAAGCCTGTCCTCTTCTCTCAGAGGGTTGCCCGTCAGACAAAGGAGAAACATTGGGCTCTGCACAGCCACAGCATGAAGCGGACTGGGATAGCGATATACATCATTCCCGTTTTTAGACACCAGATCGCACTGGTACTTGGGATTCACATCTGCAATGACATCAAGGGAATTAAATTGTGGTGTGGAGGGGGAACAGCAAATTGCCCCTGAGGCCTGGTCTTCACAGTGGCCTTCTTTATATTCCAACCATCCTATGAGATCTGAAAAACATTTAAAGGTACACTCTGAAGAAATTAATTAGTAGCACCATCTTGTCTCTGACCAGTTTTTATTAAGACAAGTTCATGGGTAGAGAATGAATAACAAAGGAATAAAAAAATACTCCACTAGTTACTCTACCAGTTTACATAAGGTTTATATAACTGAATGAGTGAAAAACAAATTTAACAAAAATTTGGCAAGATTTGTTCTTTAAAGGAAATACATTTAGCCATTAGAAATGTTTTCAAATTATTGAAAAGGGAAAACACTATAAATGTTAGCGAAAATCATGATAGAAGAGTATGATTATTTGTGTTTATACAAAGAAAGTCTAAGATGAAGTCATACCAAGGTTCTAATAGTAGCACCTCAGTGTGATGGGGAAAAAGTTGATGTTCACTTTCATCTTTCTAAATTTTCAACAATAACTATTGCGTTTTTAACTGGAAAAAAAATCAATGAGTCTGTTCTGGCTTCCTTTTAAAATTCTTTGGATAAATTAGTTTCTATGGACTTTTTCCTCATTTTGTACTTTTTAAAACTTGATTCCTAATGATATCTGTTCAGATAAAACACCTAAAAGGTCAAATAAACTGATCAAATTTCAATAATAATAACAGCATATTTTCAATAGTGATATTAAAAAACAAAACATTGTTTAATAGGATAGGGAGTTCTTCATAAGACTTTTTAAAAGATTGAGTACTAGTAATGGATAAATTTCCCACATCTTAAAAATGTTGATACCAAAATATAATGAAATCAAATTTTTTCTTAGTTAAATGATTTTAATTTCTTTTTTTTTTTTTTTGGAAGGTGGGGTTACTAGGCATTGAATTTAGGGGCACTCAACCACTAAGCTACATCCCCAGCCCTATTTTGTATTTTGTTTAGAGACAGGGTCTCACTGAGTTGCTTAGCACCTCTCCATTGCTGAGGTTGGCTTTGAATTCACAATCCTCCTGTCTCAGCCTCCCAAGCCACTGGGATTACAGGTGTGGGCCATAGCACCTGGTGATGATTTTGATTTCTTAGTGAATATTATAAACATCAAATCCTTTTAATGACCTTAAGTTATCAGAGAAAAATCAAAGTTGAGACCATCATTGATTTATATTCCATTATATTTATTTATCCAGATATTAAAAACCTATGTACCTGTAATAAATTTCTTTTATAAAGAAATTATTTTAAAAAGGAAAATGATAATCTTCATCTACTCAACCCCCAATAAATAAATAGTTTGTTCTAAGAAAAGGAAACCTCTATCCTTTCCCATCCCTCCTCCTCCACTACCCTAAGTCCTATCTTTGCCTTACTTTTTTCTCTTTTTCAGTGCTGGAGATTGAACTCAGGGGCACTCAATCACTGAGCCACATCTCTAGCTCCCTATTTTGTATTTTATTGGAGGTGAAAGGGTCTCACTGAGTTGCTTATTGCCCTGCCAAGTTGCTGAGGCTGGCTTTGAACTCATGTTCCTCCTACATCCGCCTCCCTCATGCTTCATTTTCCAGAGCCACTGGGATTACAAGCCCACAAGACCACGCCCAGCTTTTGCCTTACTTAAAGCCACATTTACCTACATTTCACCACTGATCCCTTGTCCTTATTTAAGAGTTGAACCAGAGAGCTCAAGGCCCAGCCCAACTGTCTCAATGCTGCAAGGAGGGCATTTGAGAGAGCCAGAGGTCTGTCTTCAAGGAAAACCTGTACAAAAGTACCTTTCAATGGGCTTATAAAGTTTACCTCTGAAACCAGATTTACAGAGTGAGGAAGAACAATTATCAATGAACTTGAGGCCCAGACACTCTAGATAACACAGTTCTGTGTTTCCCCAAATGATTGCTGTTGGAACACATATTGTACAAACACAAACCAATTAGCAACCTCAGCTGCTCAGTGTTAGGTTTTCCTTGCCTGAACTCAAAAGTTCAGTCTCATACACAAGTGAAAAATAGATAAACACAGAGTACAGTGACTTGTGCCAGCACCTGCAGCAGCTCTCATCTTCTCTGCTCTTTCATAGGACCAAAGGTGTAGTCGTGAATTTCAGCAACAACTCTACCATTCAGCCCATGGGGAGTTTCTGACAACAGCTTATAAGCCAAAATTCCTCCTCTATTAGATGAGATGGTTGAATATAAAAATTTTGAATTCCGGGCTGGGGATGTGGCTCAGGTGGTAGCGCGCTCGCCTGGCATGTGTGCGGCCCGGGTTCAATCCTCAGCACCACATACAAACAAAGATGTTGTGTCCGCCGAAAACTAAAAAATAAATATTAAAATTCTCTCTCTCTCTCTCTAAAAAAAAAAAAAAAAAAAAAATTGAATTCCCTTGGGATGGTAAACATGGACCTGGCAGTTAGACATGAGCTTGAATCCTGCCTCTGCCACTTACTATGTAAATAGCTTAAAGAACTTCAATTGGCCTCAGTTTTTTAATACATAAAATAGAGCTAAAAATACCTACACACTCTGCAGAACTGTTGCGAGGATCAAAAGAGATATGCAGAGCATCTAGTGGTGCATGCCACATAGTAGAAATGCAAAAACTGCCAGTACTAACAATATGATTCTCTCAGGAGGTCACAGCAAGTATAGTCCCAAGTGGGGAATTATGGGCTGGGGGGGAGGGGTGCACATCATACAGAGTATTCTGGGAAACATGGAGGGGCCAGAGCTTTCTGAGGTGCCAGTTCTTGACAAGGATGATGGACGTATTTAACTTAATGTACACTTTAGTTTTAAGTGATTAAAGGAAGAAGAAAACTGTTCCAGAATGGTTTTCAAAAGAAATGCAATGGGGTTAGAGATATAGCACAATGGTAGAACATGTGTTCAGCATGCCACAAGACTCTAGATTCAATCCCCAGCACACACAAAAAAAAAAAAAAAAAAAAAAGAAAAGAAAATACAGACAAATTAAACAGCAAAAACTCAGAAATTCAGTTCAAGACTTATAATATTGGTGCAGTATCTCTACTGTTAAATTGCTACTATGAAAATACAAAGCCAAATGAGACCCAAAGAAGACTAAATTAATCCTAGACATTCATCTAGATCAAGCCATAAATTTAGACATATTATGGCACTCAGTGAAGTAAATTGATGAACTTTTGGTTTTCCATTAGCAAAAGATGACGAGCTACATAACTCTAAGGGTCCTTAACCCTGCCAGTTAAAATTTCTATCAATGCTAACAATTCTTACCTGCAGATTTGGGGCAACCATCTGAGATAGTCAAGGTTGCCTCCAAGGGACTGCAAAAGCAAGTGCTGGAATGACAACTGGATAAACACTCACTGAACACCGAGTTAGAGGAATTAGAAAGGGATCCTGAAGCCCCATCACTCAGCTCATAAAACCCTACAAATAAAAAAATCGTAGGAATTAAAATTATGTCAAGGATAATACACATTCATGCTTAAAAGGAAAAAGGGAAGAGGGTTTTATTTTTTGGTGTTTTGGGCCATTTTATTTCACTGGATTTTAGAGTCCAATAGCTGATAATATGGTTTTATTTCAAACAATCATCATGAAAAGGCAAAGAGTGTATAACTATGGTTATGTTTCAAAGTTACTCTCACCATCAAATTGACCTTCCTCCTTGGCCTTGCCTTTAAAGATGTGTAAGAAAGGAACTTAGATCTGCCAAAGCTTCAACTTTATCATGAATCTTTCAGAAGGAATAGCTTTAAGAGAAAATAAAATCTAAGGAGCCAAATGGTTTAAAAGAAAAAAAAAAAAAAAAAAAAAAAAACTTTTGAAGTGATCTCAGGAAGTTGAAGTGTGACTAATTTTCTCGACCAGTTCTGACTTTCTCAAGTTTCAAAGGACTGCTCTTCCAAAAATTTGAATAGAACCTTTTTTTTTTTTAAACTCAGGGGACTACAGTCAGATTGATCTCATTATTAAAAATTTTATCATCTGACTTTATTTCTTTCTCACACAACTGAATAGTAAACTACTCTTAGTTCTCTCAGCAATGGAAACAAACCCCACTGCCATTTGCAAGTCTGGAACTACCAACCATAGGGGGCTACCTGTGAGTGCAGAATTCTGTCCTTGTATACACACACTCACCTGAGCTAGGCCGGCTGTCTGTCTCCAGATGTTCTTCAGATGTCTTCTCTACATCCAGTCTCAAGTCACTTATCTGTTTGTCAAGTTCCTGCAACTGATTCAACAAGCCAGCATCTCTTCTCCTTAAACAATTCTAATTAGGAAGAAACAGGAAAATGAAAAATGGATATACTTTAGTGACAAAGAACCAGAAAGTCTTAAGTTTTCAAGGTTCACTAACCCTTCCCAAAACCAAAATTTTACTGAATAACCTGAAGTAAAGAAAAATTTCAGTAACTGGAAAATATGTCCTATCTTTAATTCTACTTTCTCATGTTTTGTGATGATGCAGTTTCTTCATTTTTCTACAGCAATTTTTTTGTTGTTTGTTTTAACTAGTATATACAATCTGTGACTTTTTATAGGGAGAGGCAAGAAAACTAGAGAGACTTTAATCCATCTGGTATATAGCCAGTTTAAAATAAAGCTTCGTGGTAGACTTTTGAATTTGAAGTCAGAGTAACAAGTTTCCTACAATACATTATAATCTTACTTAGGTGAGGTTTTCTGGCCAAATGTCTTGGCCTGCAGAGTTTTGTTTTCTATAAGTTGCTTTGTGGGGTTTAATCAGTCTTAGGGCCTTTGAAAGTGAGAAACTAATACTAATAGCCAGTGCCAAGTATAATGTGAGCTGGCAGAATCCAAAACCCTCAAGGGAAGGTCCATCAAGATTTGAACTCAGCTCAGGTTTCCAAAGGTGACAGATTGGTTGTGCTAACTCACACCGCCACCTAGTGCTTCCTAGAGCTGGCTGGAAAGGCAAAAGAACTCAAAAGGCATCTGGTTCAAATCATGAATGCCAAGTCTACAAATGAAAATAGTACCATAAACACTGACTGGACTGGAATTCTCCTGACATACTGCCTTGCTCCCCTCAGACAGACAATAGGAATGCATCACTTGCAATCCTGACAGTCATGAAGCCCAAAATGTGCTATTGCACAAGGCACTGCATAAAATGTAAATGACCAGGCATAACCAGTGAGAATTGGTTCAAATCGTTGTTACATATGATCCTGGTCTGTTCAAAGAAACAGTAAAACGCTCAAACCAGAGCTATCACACAAAAACCACAGCATACATCCTTACAAAATAGATGCACATGAATATCTACTCCTCTTGACTGTTCTTTGATTTAAAAAGCTAGGGGACATAAATCAGATGCTTGTTTGCTAAAATTTGAGTTTCTTCAGGAAAAATGAACCAAATAAGTAAAGGCACTTAGATGCTCAAAAAATAAATTGTCTGAAAAGAGACAAAACAAGAAAACACATGACACTGACAGCCTCCCGACACTTTATTTTAAGAGGGCCATTATCTAGCATGTGTCTACTTTCAGATAGTATCACATGGTCAGATGGGATCTTTTTGCCGTTTTCCAAAACTACATTTTGAGGTCACCGAAACAAAGCTGCCGCCATTATTCTGAGGCGGGGTCAAAAGCTGTTCTCAATACACTAAGGTCCAAAGTTCCTTTTCTTTCCATTAATGAAGACTGCATAGAGTGCCTGGGACGCTGACAGAAATCCTGTAAGATAAATGCTCCTCGAGAGCAAGTTCTCTCTTCTCCCACCTCTACCACCAATCACAGCTAGCAGAACGCATAAAGAAGAGGAGGCACGTTCTCCAGCCAAATTGCCATCAATTGCAATCTAGTTTTAGCTGCCTTATACAAAGGACTTCTATTTGAAACTAAGCACCAGTCCAGGAGAAAGCTGGTATGCTGGGGAGAGCCCTGGGAGGGGCAGGGCTCCCTATAGGCGCTTCAGTGTAATCGTAAAACTCGGTGTTAGTTAGCCGAGCCACAAGCCCCCTCCTCGCTTTTGTCCCCTCTCTGCGGGAGGAGATGAAACTAGGGAGACCTCCTAATGAAATGGCATTTTAAGTGGGGGGTTGCGAACCTCTGGGGAAAGGGCATGTACTCATTTAACTATGGAGACAAGGTAGGAACTAGCGACTCCAAGAATCTCGAATGCAGAGGAGGAGGGGAGAGCAGCCACCCCCTCCCTGCAATCCGCGCGAGGTCGCCAGCCCCTCACCTGACACAAAGCAGGCACACGCCAGAACAACGCGCCGCAGGCACACCGCACTGGGGGTTAGGGAGGTGTGAGGCGGGGGTGGGGGTGGGGGCTCAAGACTGCAAGAATTTCCCCAGCCAGAGGCAACCCCGCGCCCACACCAGACCACCTGCCCGACCTCCAGTCCCGCGGCAGGGGCAGCCTTGCCTCACCTCCGGGCACGACTTACCAATTGCTTCCGCAGCAGCAAGATGTTCTCCTCCAAGAACTTCTCCTCCAGGCGGCTGCGCTGCGCCGCCTCGGCAGGCAGCTCCCCTGCTCGGGGCGCAGCGGTACCCGCGCCCCCGACGCCGCGCAGGGCGCCCCGGACCAGCAGCTCCTGGCGCTGGCGCAGGTACTCCAGCTCCGCCAGCCCGGCCAGCGTGGCCTCCTGCCGTTCTCGGGTGCGCTGCCGCTCGGTGTCCGCCTCGCCCTTCTCCCGCCAGCGCCCCTCGGGCTCCGCCGCACGCTGCTCGCCCCGGGCGGGTGCCTGAGGCTCCAGCTCCCTCGCGGTGCCGGCTGGACTCGGCTTCATGGCCCCCAATCCAGGAGCAAAGACCGGTCACCGCAGCCAGGCTGCCAGGGTGGAGGAGCGAGGCGCTAGGGCTGCAGTTGCGAGTTCATGCCTCCCCTCACTGGGGCACAGCTGCGGGGACCAAAGCCACAAGCGCTCGGGACCCGCTCGCGGCAGCCGGCTGCCGAGGACCCGGCCCGAGCGGCGCCGTCCGCTGTCGCCGCGAGTCCCTAGCCGCGGCCCCGCAGCTGATAACGCCCAGCCCGGCGCTACGTCACGCGCGGTGGCCGGGCCACCCCCGCCTGGCGCCCGCCTCCCCGCGCCGGCCCCTCTGCTCTAGGTTCGCTCCCCTCGTTCACCGGTCTTCTGTCAGGCGCGCCGCTCGCGCTCGCGGCCGGCCTCCTCCTCCCCGCCCCTCCCCGTCTCCTCCCCCGCTCTTCCCGCGGGCCTGCTAGCCCCCTTTCCGACTTCACTGCACCCGATTTTTCCTCGTTGCTCATTGGCTCTTTTCCGTCACCCAAAAGCGAGGGGCGAGCGCCTGGAGCCCCAGCATCCTGTTACAGTCAGCGTAGCCGGCAGGGTCCGCGAAGGGACGCGGCAGTTGGGCTCCCCAGAGAACTTTCTGAAACTCGACCAAGTTGCAGTACACAATCTTAACCCTTTCCCCAACACGTCCACTCTCCGGGTCCGCTCACACTGGTTTAGGTTTCTTTCACCTTCCCAAGCAAGTTACTGCGAGTGTATTCGAAGACAATTTCTATGAGTTGAGCTTTTGGTTTTTGTTTCTGGGTTTTGTTGTTTTATTTTTTTAAACTCCATTTTGTAAAAGCATCCATACAAAGCTCATTGTAGGGTTGTTTTAAAAACGTTTTTAAGTTTTGCTCTTTTTAATTTTTGACGGAAATCTCACTTTAGAAGGCATTTAAAACCAAGCAGGAGGATGTCATCTTAGGGCCAGCCGGTGGCATGAGTTCTTTTAAAAGCCTAAAGTTTATGAGTGTGCGTGCTTATGCGAATGGGGTTTTGTTTGCTTTTTAATGTTGTTATTTAGTCTCTGTTCACTAGAGCCAGTCTCTGAAACCAGAGTACCTGAATTTGAAACCCTGTTTCACTCTCAAATAGCTGTATGGGCAAACTACTTGCCCTCTCTGCATGTTTCCCCAAAGGTGAAATGGAGCTACTATCAGAACTTGCCTGTTGCAAGAATTTTGATAATGTACATCATACAACATATATCTCTTGAAAGAGTGTGTTTACAACATAGCTGGTTGAAGATTTTAAGGTTTTATGACTTGAGCCTCTTGCCCCACCCCACCAGAGGAACTTATCAAATTTTCCCCTGAAGTATCATTTGTGGGGTGATCATTTAGGCTTAGGACACTGGACACAGGGAATTTCAGTGAGCTAGGGATCTGCAAATGCCACTAGCTGGCCTGTTTATGGTACAGTACCACACGATTGTTAAAAGCACACAGGCAAGCAACACGGAAATTGAAACCACCATGTCACATTTTGCTGAAGTTCAGGCAAAGTGTTGCGTGAAGGAATACTTCTTATATCATTATTGCAGACTCTTGCACCTTTGACCAGCTGCTTACCCCTTCCAGGAATTTTCTTTGTCCCTTCACTGTGTGGTCTAATCTTCCTTCCAAAATCAGCTCACTCTCTTCCCTCCTTTGAACTCCTTAACTGAATGAATATTTGGACCTTTCCACAAGCTATTGTTTGGTTATTTACCTGGGTGTGTGCACACACATCTGTGTATGTAGGTGTTTATGTGTATCTCTTCTCTCCAGCTATTTTATAAAAGCTCCCGGAAGGCAGTCTACCCTCGTAGACTAACTGTTCTCAGCACAGTGCACTGCAAGCATTCAACTGATAATTGCTAGAAACTCAAGAGGATGTAGGTTAGTTGTAGATTGTTTATTCATTGACATACTTTTTAACTAACTTTTAAACTTAATAGTACCCATTTAATCTCCATTACAAATGTAACTAAGTTGACATATACCAAAAAGACAAAAAACAAAAGCAAAAGCTCCTTTGCCACCCTTCACTCTCCTCCCATTTTACCTTCTCCATACATGAAAGGAAGTACAACCTTGATAATTAACAAGATTCCATAGTAGATCTAAAAATGAAATTGTATTCCAGGTGTTCCTAAGCTGACAAAATAAATTCTATTCAGGTCACCTATTCTTTCTGCCTACTGTGTACCAACCCCTATTTGATAATACAGGAACTAATTTTGCTCCCTAAATTTAGTAAGACTAACAAATAATGACTTCTCCTGCCTGCCAAATACCACTCACTGGAGTCTTCTGTCATTGTTTCATTCTGTTCTTTTCTAAACAAGCATCTTGCTTTCTAGTCTGAATCAGATTCCGCCTGGCTGGGCGGAGTCTATTATTGTGGCCTGTGTTATGTCACACATTGACAACTATATTTATATAGTTGAGGAGGGGGAAGAAGCTGAAACATGTTTTTACACACTACTAATAAATCTTGCTAAAGCAGACAGACAAGTTGCTATGTCTCCAAACCTCCCTAACCTTCCCAACCCCCCTCCCACCAAATGCCACTTTGAGCTGGCTCATTACTCCAAAGCAAACCATTTGCCATAACAGCTTGTACATCTCCATGAAAAAGTGTTTCCAGCAAGTTTAAATATTAAAACTAATGCGTTCTGATGGTTCCTCCAATAAAATGGTCACAAATAGGAAAAAAGGTTTTGCTTTCCAAAGTATCCATTGCACATTAATAAATAATGCTGTTCATTCACATGCCAATTAAAACAAACTTGGGCTGTCAAATGAAGTTAGAAGCAAGGAGCTCAATGGTGTAATTGTTTTTTCCAGGAAAACCCCCAATGTTATATTAAGCATGACTGGTTGGGTTGCCCCTATGCTCTTCTTAACCTAACAGTCTCCTCCTCCCTGTTCTAGTTCCTGGGATTTTTTTTTTTTCCTCTTTGATTCTTTGATTTGGTTGCAGGTATTTGGAAGACAATTGAAAGAAATCACCCACTGCTTCCTTCCTTCTTCTGCTGATAAAGTCTTACTTCCCTCTATGGTTTTGATTTTTTTTCCCTTTCTCATTCTTTTTAAAGCAGGTACTGGCGCTTCTTGCTCCACTAGTACTACTTCATTATCTCCTTTCAAGTTAGTTCTTTCACTTTCCCTGAAGGCTTCTGTCTTATGGACACTCAGAACAGAACGTGTGGCACTAAAGATGCAGTGGATCTGCTACCCAGAGGAGCCGGCCAGTAAGCTACAGTTGCCAGCATGAAAAAAGAGTCTTGGTTGAATGCACTACAGTTGTGTAGCCTTTTATTTAAAGATATTTCCTAGGCAGAGCCAGCAACAGTCTCTCAGATCACGGTCTGGCGTTTTTGCCCTTGGGCAGAACAATTCCTAAGAGCACACTCACCAAACTCTGAGCATCATTCTACAAATTCCTTATCGGGCAGTGAACATTCTATTGCAGACAAGCAAAGTAAGTAGCATCAATTGTACATTTTGCTATAGAGAAAAGCAACAAAATGATGCCTTGCAACTTTTATGGCCAAACAAACACAAATGATGTAATTGGGAAAAGCTGTCTCCAAATAGGAGAGAAAAAAAGTAAAGGGCAATCCTTTTAGTTTGGGTGATGACCACCATTTGAGAGCCTGGGATCAAAGCTCCAGCCAGACATCAAAGCCCATTTGAGTCTAATGCCAAAAGAGCCACAGTGAATTAAACTTCATATATAAACTAATTATAGCTTGACCCCACAATCAGGCTTCAGTGAGCACATTGGGGAAAGAAAGCAGACATTGAAACAAAAGATCATGGAAAAAGAAAGTTGGTAGCAAAACTGGGCAACATCATGGCCCTGGACACTTTAAAAATCCTTGGAGGGCACAAGGAATACCAGAACGGCAGAGGAAATAGCAAACTTTTGACAAAGCTGGTTTTGTTTAAAAGATGATGAAACTGCTTCTTCCACCCTCTCTGATAGCAGGACCAAACACATCCTTATTCTTGGAAGAAAAGATTATCTTTTATCTGTGTTTTAGTGTTGTGAGAGGGTTTCTGAGTCACCAGGCTTCTGTTGAAGAAGCCCAAGGTGAGTCCATGAAGTTTCCTTTTTTTAAGAGAACTCAGGCTTCCTCTTACAGAGCACTCTGAGTTTCAGACTGTCCTGTGTGTCACAATGACTTGCCTTGTCTGGGATCTTCATCACTAAGGCCTCCCATTGACCTCGTACATCAGTTGCTTACCTTTGCCTTTTCTACTAGTCATCTTTACAGATGGAAGGTGCAGTGTGTCAACTGTGCAAATGCCCTGATACTAACTCTATGAAATGATGAAGACCCCTGCATTCTCCAGCAAAACTTAAAAGTATTCAGATACAAGTGGCTTTCAAAAACAATTGTATTAGGTGGGTTTTGCCCTTACTTGGTTTTATTGGGTTGTTCTCCAATTATTTAAAATTATCAGTCTCATAAACTGGCAAACCATTAGACACATGATTTGATAACCCACAGAATATGTCTTTGCAGATAAACAGATTTCTTAAAGTAACAAAGTCTAAATGTATAAAACGAATCTTTAATAAGATTAAAAAAAGTAAAACAAACAAAAAGCAGGCCCTTCATAGAATAAAAGTACCATCATCATTACTTTGTACCTTTTTAAATTCACTTATTCAAGGAATATTTATTGAATATGGAATACATCTCAGGTACCAAGGATACAATAGTGAACAAATCAGACCTAATCCCTACCATCATGGAGTTTATAATCCAGGCAGTATACGCGTCCTAATTAAATAATAATATATCTGTTTGTGTGCATGTGTATTTCCAAATTATGAAACAATTACTGCAATTTGCAAATAATATTTTAAAAGCAGATGTATTCTTCAGGGAAATGCAAATCATAACCATAATGAAATATCATCTCACTCCAGTTAGAATATCTATTATAAAAAGGGGGGGAACCACACACACATGCTATCATGTGGACAAAGAGAAA